TTTTAGATTCCCTGACCCACTTTGCTAGCCTTGCTATGGAGTCCTGTGCTTACAGTTTAATATTTGTTAGACCCAGCTGAACCTACAATTAACAGACTCCAAATTAACCCGCCTTGGGAATCGGTTCGCTACTGCTTTGTGTGGGGAAGTTGCTTACAAATAGCTTAAGCTCGAATCACTCCGTCTAATGGAGCCTTATTTTGGCATACTACTTAACGATGTAAAATTAATACCCTATAAACACTCATAAAAGCTGGTACAGCCACGAATAAACAGCAGCATGTACGATTGCAAATAAGGGTGCTCTATTACCCACACAAATACTGAAGTAACCCCCTCCTATCCATTAAAAATTAAAAGAGACACTGAACTGGAGCATAGAATTTGTGTTTGTCTCACTAGAAACCCACTCCACGTTTATACTTTTTGCCTCATTTATAGAAGTACAACAGAATGACTAGTTAGCTGATAGGTCTTCTTTCATGAATAAAATTGGCTAAGCAAGCATGCTTTAAACATGAAAATTCAACCGCACAAAAAATACGTTTGCCGTAAAAAACAATGCCTAACTTAACCGCAAAACAAAATATGAAATAAAACTTCCAAATAAACAAACTCATGGAAGGGTTTGCCTTTGGGACACTCTTTGAGTGCTGTGCCCTCTCTAAAAAGTGATAATTGAGAATTTACATACAAATCTTCAATGTATAGGGCATTGCTCACTAACTTGCGGGCGCTCGTAATCGGATTCTGACTCATTCCAAACTTCTCCCCATAAATCTGTACTTTGCAAACGTGAAATTTTGATAGGGAATGAGACGAAGGTAGAGGATATAGACCTCGCATGTTCGCATCACTTTTGCCATTATAAGCACTTCTTAAAGGGAGTAATATTACTTATTAGTGTTCTCTCTCTTTGCCTCCAGACCACGGAAAAATCATACAAATCTATCGTGCGGAACGGCAAAACATTTTTGAGCCCAAAATCTCGTCCAGACCTAAATTTTCTACCGCGCTTTCGTATATTACCGGTGTTCGCTCAGCCGAGTCTTGCCCTTCTATTCGACAGATGCAATCAAAACAGACATCGCAGGTCTGAGGATTCGCTTGCAAATCCCATAAATAATTTTAACGCATACTCCTAGCTGAAACATTCATATGATGCGAATTAGGGCGCAATTAAAAGCGGATTGCAATTTAGTGATTTAAAAACCCTTACAGACATTAGCTTACGGACTGAGACTGTAATTTCAGTTTGTTACAGAAAACCCTTTCAATTTTTAGGTGACTACCGTACTTTTTCATCCCACGTAAACACCTTGCAAATTCCAGGACAGTCATTAGATGGAAGATTCATGAAAGCGTATTTATGTATAAAAACAGCACAGGAAATAAATGAATATAAAACAGGATAGCCTTTCTTCAAACCTAGCAAATTCAATAGGCAAAAGAGTGTGTGATTTGTCGTTTGCATGAAACTCGACAGGCCTTTTAAAGACTTTTTCGAACCGGAGCAATATAACCAATGTTCTTCACGAATTTGGCATAATTTAGCCAATCTTGTATTTGGGATTAGCAAGATCAACATGTTCATAGATCAGCCGACCGTGTTTCAGCGCTTTATATCGCAGTCCAAAATTGATGCAAGCATGCCGCCTCCGCTCTTTCGGCTCCCACTTCATCCATGGTTTAAATACTTGACAGGCCGCGATGTTACCCAGCAATTCCTCCATGTGGTTATATTTATATTAAAACTGGTTGTCTCTTAAGGTTAATGTATCCGACCTAAATCAAAAAGTTAAGGGGCATAGTCACTTACACTTTTCACATTTCGGCATATTTTTAAAATTCTTATTAAGTGCATACTAAAAATAAATATAAATTGGAATCGCAGAATTCAAATGAGGCTGGCAAATGACGGGAGAAAATAAACCTGGTAAAACTAGGACATTTTGCCGTGGTGAGCCACTTAGCCTGACATACGGCAGCTGCGTCCACAGCCCTCTTTGTTTCGGCGTGCAGACGTGAG